TTAATTGATATAACATCGTGGATTCATGGTGATTTCCCAAACAAAATAATACAGATAGAATGCAGATAAACGAAATGAATACAGCTAAAATACAAATAAAACGAAATGAATACAGATAGAATACAGATATAACAAAATTTGATACAGATAGCATACAGAAATAACGAAATGAAGACAATCCCCAAAACATGTCGTACGGGCGTCATTAGACTTGCACAAGTATCTAAGGTTAGAATTAAATCTTAAAAATATGAATATCCCTCTAACAGACTATTCTGCTCGCTTATCTAGACTTGCCTCTTTAAAGGACAGAATTACTGTACATCCATGGGCTAAGCATTCAGTACAGCCTTGGAGCGTGATTAAAAATTTAGGGTGTCATGTCATAAGTGTGTGCGTTTCATCAGCGTAGAAAGGATTAATTTCAGAGTCATGATCACTCAGTGTGCACCCGGCCGCCTCTGTCTCCATACACAGTCAGTCAACAGAACGTCACATTTGTCCTCAAAGGAAGCTTCGTAAGTATCTGTAGTCTATGACCGAGACAGGGGAGGTAACTCAGAATCAAAATAGGATGGAGTTATTGAAGTCCAAACAATATCGCGTAGCAATTTGGTTCATCTGGTTCATAAACAACATGGTCTCTGCTGTGGAGATCTTCTGTCCATCGTAGGATTTACAGTGCATATGTACCGTCATCTGGGCGTCGACAGATATTTTCCAAATCTGAAGTAAATGTAAAATTAATGATATGAAAGGTGATATCTGATTGTCATCTGGAGGGACATAGAAATGGCATAACTCATCATAGTCTCTGGAGGGGCTACAATCAAGCCACGAGTGAGTGAGTTTAGTTTTACGCCGCTTTTAGCAATATCATGGCGGGGGATATCATTGCATCATCATTGAACCCATGTGGGGGAATCGAACGCGGGTCTTCGGCGTATCGCGCGAATGCTTAATCCACTAGGCTACCCACCGCCCTATCTAGCCAGGAAACTTCGAGCCGAGTCCTGCAAGGGTGGAAAATCTATAGACAGTTAACTCTCTTGCCTAAGGATGACTATCTGCAGTTGACACGTGTTTATTGCTAATTATGTATCGACGTAAGCTCTGCTCTACTAATCGACCGTAGCACTAGATGTGACGAGTGTACAACATAGACTTCCCAGACTTCCATGGACGGCGGATGTCAAAGTTTGTCTGGCAAAATGCTAGAATTATATAAAGGAAAGGTTGTGCTTATAGCTGATATATGTTCTTATTCCGTACAGAGGAACATCACCACGTTGAATGTGTGGCGCACCAGGTTCCGATATGGCGGGAAAGCGTCAACTGTATTCAGGAAACTCCGCCCCATTAAGGTGAGCTACGTACAATAACATTGACACATCTGTCGACTGGCAGATCCTAGCCCGAGGCAGATGCTACAGGCTCTACTGAGATCATTATTTTTTTGCTCTTATTTGTCACGTACTGCTTAACTTAAACAAGTGTCATTGATGGAAAATTGCGCCATCAAACTCAGGAAAGAAATTTTGCAACAACTTTCGATACCACGCCCCTGTCGCTATCGACGTATATTTGGAATAGTAACGTAAAACGAATATTTGTGATTGGTTTTATTTAAGTTCTTTAGAATTTCCTCAATGCATGAAGGGGCGTTGGGGTAGCCAAGTGGTTACAGCGTTCGCTCGTCAAGCCGAAGATCCTTGTTCGATCCCTCACCTGGGTACAATGTGTGAAGCCCATTTCTGGTGTCCCACGCCGTGATATTGCTGGAATATTGCTAAAAGCGGCATGAAACTAAACTCACTCACTCACAGCATGACGTCCTATTGCAGGTGCGAAGGAACCGAGTCCAGCTACAGCTTCTCCCGGACGAGGTGTACACTCTCACCACTATGCCAACAGGCAACAAGGGGTCCTTCCCGTCTCAGCCCACACAGGGGGACTTCCCCTTCATCTACCTGGAAAACTTTGAAGGTAATTTGATTAATGGCGTAAACACTTTAATGGCAGCGTCTATTTTTCAGTCTTTGCAAACCATACCATTAATGAAAGGTTGGTGATGTAATGCAGTTACAAACGAATGCGTTCGTTACATTTCTTATTTATACACAATATGTATAGTATTTAACTAGAAACACGCTGCAACATTTGCATTCAGATAAGTCTTGTAAAGTTGAAGGCGTTGGTTTTAAAAAAAGAATTACTCCAAAAATACCCTGAAAAAAATAAAAGGATGTTTCTGATTATAATCGTATGACGAGGAATACATATACTGCAAAATATGATGCGGAATATGTCGAATTGCCCCCATTTGAGAAGTCACTTGTAAGCAGCTCGTGTCGTTTGATCCCTGAAACGTAAAGAAAATCCTTTAACGATTTTATACCATTTTGAATGTTTAAATCCTCAACTGATTAACATCGATTTTATTATTTTTCTTTACGTAGGCTACGCTCAAAATTCGGAACCGTTTACGTTTGCCCAACAGATGGGATCATTCGAGGTTTTATATACCGGTGAACCCCATAAAACGTCCTGCGTCAGATGGTCCTACAGGAACCGGTGTCGTGGTGTAGTCCAGAGACACAGATACAACACCCATTTAACCTTGTCGGGGATTATAACTGGTACGGCGGTGGCAAACGTTAATAAGAAGCATCGTTTCTAAAGACCCGGTCACACTTCTGCGTATCCTAATTCCTTATGAGTTGCCCATTGACATTTCTTTCATACCCAGTCGTACGCGCAACACGCACCTCATATGCATCTAAATCATTTTGTGTAAGTTTTATCTACGGCGGCATGCGCACAGTACGGCCCAGTAGGCCTGATAGTTTTTGGGCATGCCCAAAACTACGCTGAGTACGCTGTTACGCAGGCCACAAGTTATAAATACGCAGGGCATCGGTCCCGCATCGGTCGAGCGCGGTACGAGTATGCTATGTGTTCGTGGGGGATAGGCGGTTCATACGTGGTAATTCGCTGATCTCCCGGCACGAGCCATGAGCTGCGTATACTTGCAGCGCAAATACAACGCACGCTGAACGAACTCCTAGCCAATGCCGACATTTTGCACGAATTAGTACCGTTTGTCCTGCAATCGGACAGCGCATTGTATAGCGCTTTTGTAACTTATGACAAGCGCACAGATAGCGTACTTGCCGAACATTATTATATAACTCCCCGGGGATCATGCAACTCTTGCAGCCACTAGGCACACCGAGTTATTGCGGCTTTCTCATCCTGGGACACGTAGTCACTACTTTGTCCAAGTTTACTTCAGTTTCTGTACCCGCAACTAGGTGTTTGCACGTATTCATGTGGCCACCACCTGGTCATATACCAACGGATTCGTGGGTTCTTTTAAGTGCACAGGGTTGTATACTGTACACTAGGGGTTGTGACAACACTGAAAGTGTCTGCACACAAGGTTGACTCCAATTGTGTTTACACCCGGTCACAGAAACTTGGTATAAAGTCTCCTCTAGACTCCAGGGTGACAGACCTCCTGAAGATGGCAGACCCACGCCGGAACCGGCGAGACCACATGACTGCCGTCATCCATAGAATCTATGGAATCTGCACTGGTAATGAAAACAGCCGGAAACAGCCGCCTATCGGGAATACGCTCGGAATATGCAGTCGGCATAAGTTGGGTGCGTCCGGAATACGCTCGGCATGCGCACTGCATATGCAGCTATTTGCAGCCAGAAAAATTGTGTTACGCAAATCATACGCAATTGATGAGCTGAATACGTTATTTATACGCTAGATTTGCGTCACACCTAAGTCAAAGTAATGGAAAAATTTCGCAATTTTGAGCGTACGACTGTGTACTTGATTTTTTTATTAAGAACTCATAAGCAGCTGATATACGCAAAAGTGTGACAGGGGCTTAACATAGTCCTTTCTTTGCGTCAATGACAAGTGTGTATCACCCGAAGTGTACTTTGGTAACATTGTCCATTCAACACAATTCAAATCTTGTCCGCAATAACAAATTACACCCGTATTAAGTGTGTAGGTTTTATGTCAACAATGTCCTATTTTCAATCTTTGAGGCTCAATTCATAGACGAACCTTCCTCTCGAGAGGCGTTGTTTGTTTTAAACATATTTTATTCATTCAAGAAAAGGATTGGGCACAAGTTATCCAACTTAGAAAAGCCCTCTCCAGATAATTACACAATTCATCTTACAACAAAGTACACAAGTGACAGACATAGGCTAGGATATGTACAACAGATGTTAACTGAGAAAGCGTTTTGTTTGAGAGATAAAGATATGTACATATTTGAAAACATTCTGGTTGTCAGTGATTGAGAGACCTGCATTGCCTTGTAAGATAAGATTAATATCAATCAGTGTTCTATTTTTGACAATATGTTCTAAAGATTTTAACAGTTTATGTAGAGAGAGGCGTTTTGTAAGGAACGCGATTTAAATCTGTAATTTCGACCATAATAAACATTCCAATTAAATTGTTATTTACAACGAATACAGACGACTAACATTGTTTTGTCGAGTGAGGTTCATGTGGCAGCCATGCATACCGGCGGTACAGTTGCAGTGTTTCTTTATATCAGGACGGACGTCAGCGTGCAGATGGAGATGAAGCTCGGCGACGTGAACGGCAGTGACGGCTACTTCCTGGCCGTGAGGGTGGACAGAGGAGGGTGCAACTCCTCGTCCGCAAGGGGCGTATTCCTCTACATCTACCCCAACCAGAAACAATTTGTCCTCTCCTCCGACATAGGCAAGGACGGCTAGATATGCCATTATTACATAAAGTCTTCTCTTTCAAAATATATGAATTACATTGATGCTAAAACAATTCTATTTGAAATGGAAATCTTTTGTTCAGTTACCTTTGTAATATACTGAAAGTAAGGAATCATGACTATTTTGTAAGACCGAGCTCACAATTTTACAAAATGTGACAAGTACGATATCATATCCATGTAATGCCTTGTTGGGTTGTAGGTCAGACCTCGATCATTATGAAAGGCAGCCTTGAAACCCCTAATCCTGGCTGGAACAAAGTGTCTCTCAAAGCTGAGGTAAGGGACATGGTAATCGAGTGGAATTTGGCTGTAATCGGACACAACTCTCCATTATAGAACCTATTCGCTTCCAGTACCCCAACTGGAAGAGGCTGGGTGGGCGGGGGCTGTGGTTGTAAACCACCGGAAAGAGAAAATTGGGGGTGGAGTGAGTGAGTTAAGTTTTACGCCGTACTCAGCAATATTCCAACTATATGGCCAGACAATCCAGTGATTAACATCATGAGCATCGTTCTACGCAATTGGGATACGATGACATGAGCCTGACCTTCCAATCCCGTTAGTCGTCTCTTACGATAAGCATGGTTTACTGAAGACCAACTTTAACCCGGATTTTCACAGGTGAATTGGAGGTTGAAGGGTTACGAGGTGGGTTGAGGGATAGGGGATATCGGGTAGGGGTGAGGGCCGAAGATTTCTTCCAATCTCTTACATTGTCAGTCAAGACGGACATTTTTATCCATCTGTTAAACCGAGAAGTAAAACTGATAAACAATTGTCTGTGTGGATTAACACCTTCCAAAAAACCTACTTAAGCGAACGTAAAATATGTGTATTGCGTGTATATATTTGTAAACAAGATTCTTAAAGTTGCTATTATTGTAGCCGAAGGGTTCACCCACCAACTGGGCTACACATAAGCAGGCAACATTTTGCATGACTCCACGTGTGTTATGTAGATTTGGATATGGGACATGGAATATTCATACCATGAAAAACTCCGGAGATTTACGGACCTACTATGAAGTATCCCTGAGACATGGGCATTCTATGAATTGTCCTTGAGACAGAAGGGTATTTTGTAGAAAGCTCCCTCTCAGAGGTTATTGTACGATAGGACGACCCCTATATGCTGACATCACTACAGGTTGCTAAGACACCAGTGAGCAGGGGCTACTGGCTACCCGGTAGTCTAGTGGTTAAAGCGTTGGCTCGTCACGTTGAAGACCCGGGTTCGAATGCCCACATGGGTACAATGAGTGAAGCCCATTTCTGGTGTCCCCCGCCGTGATGTTGCTTGAATATTGCTAAAAGCGGCGTAAAACCAAACTCAGTCAGTCAGTCAGCCAGTGAGCATGGTGATGGTGAGGTAGCCTAGTGGTTAAAGCGTTCGCTCGTCACGCCGAAGACCCGGGTTCGATTCCCCACATGGGTACAATGTGTGAAGCCCATTTCTGGTGTCTCCCGCAGTGATATTGCTGGAATATTGCTAAAAGCGGCGTAAAACTAAACTCACTCACTTACCTACTGAGCATGACCAGTACATAACATATATTTACTGATCGTCGTGATATGGATGTCAGCGCCATGGCCATGTCTTGTTACAGGGAGACTACGCCGACGCGACGTTGAACGACGTGAGCCTGCTTCATGTGCAGCTTCCCAGGGGTCCGGCAAATGGCTTTGTGGGTCTGGGGACATCAACTTGGGGGTTGGCCGATTTCGACAACATGCTCATACAGCCGGCCAACTGGACCGGCACGGCCCGGACGCAGGGAGACAGCAGGCTGTACTTTGAGCCAGGAAACTAGTGTCATATGATGGGGCGGCAATCGGGGCAGTGGTGGCACTATGTGAGATAATGTTTTATCTTAAGACTTATTCTAAAATTGCTAATCATTCACATTGCGACATGCTGAATTCACAGCAAAAATACATGTTTAAACATGTTTAGGTAAAATATCAAACTTACAGCGTGGCACTTGCATTTCTAACACTCTGCAAAGAGTGAGCGAGTGAGTGAGTTTGGATTAACGCCGCTTTCAGCACTATTCTAGCAATATCGCGGCGGGGGCACCGGAAATGGGCTTCACACATTGAAATACGTATTGTGTTACGGAATGTTCATATCGTTATTTTAAATATAGGTAAGCCTCATTAGTTCGATACTTTGTAATGCTTGTGGAAATATATCAATAAAGTAAGCTACAACATATACAAACTGTGACGTTGTTATTAATAACGGACCACCTGTTGATGGCGTATTGCTAATGCAGGGAACGTTCATAACGATTTTACAATGTATTTGTATGTGGCCGTGAGCAGTTGCAGCTGGAAGATAGGCGCTCTGCAAATTCATTTTTTAATTTATTATTATTTTATCATAGGCCTCCCAGGTCGTCTTGATAAATAGGTCCTAAAAGAATATTCGGAAGGGTCAGGTCTTGTTGGTCAGATGAAATGTGTTGATTTTCATGGAGCTTGAAAAGGCAAACGACAGACAGAATTTAATCCGTAATCAGGCTTCCAGCCCTCAATACATACATCATCCGATTATAGATTTACACATGCAGTCAGAATTAATGCATCCTAAATAGTTTAGATTTTCGAATTTTTATAACTTTTGACAGGAATGTTTGGTATGTGCACTTTGCACTCAGATAAAATTCTAGAGCAGTTATCTGAGATCTGAGTCAGCATGAATAGGATCTGGGTCGTTCTCGAAGACTACAGCAAACTGATAGTAAATATACACATACTTGTACTAAGTCAGAGTGGGTACACTACTCGTGACATGAATCACATGAATGCCTTTCAGTATGTACAAACCTGTCCTAGTTATTATGAAGTGACATATATACTTGTAACAATGATCACGTCATTCACTGGACTTATTGACGAAAAGTGTACTGATGTATTACATGATTTATGTAGATATATATTCATCAAAGCTTAATCTTAAGAGAAGAATATAAAAATCTATATATTTCATCCATGTACATTGTATGTAATTCATGTTTGATGTAAAATGTATTATACTATTTGCATATATATGGGCCAATGGTCTTCATACAAATAAACAACTTGACTTGACTTGACCTGTAGGTATTTTCTAGATACTGCTCCTTCATACCAAGATACACTGGCATGGTCTTCTCAACTTGTGTTAATGAGGGGCAGTGGGTTAGCCCGATGGTTAAAGCGTTCGCTCGTCACGCCGAAGACCCGGGTTCCATTCCCCACATGGGTACCACGTGTGAATCCCATTTCTGGTGTCCCCCGCCGTGATATTTCTGGAATATTGCTAAAAGCGGCGTAAAATCATACTCAGCTGTTTTAATGAGGTATGGAGGAAATATTAAGCACCACATAACCGGATGGGGATATTCGATCTCCCTGTCACACAGTATAGGTTGTGGAACTTCTAATGACGGCCTTGACCCCCATGGGAATTTCAGCCAGAGTTAGCCCCCTGAATCTTTTGCGGAAAGAACTGGTCGGGATGCTTAGTTTCATACAGAACAGTAGTTACGATGTATTCCTGTTGACTAAAATCAGAAGTGAAGCCCATATTCAATTAATAAATGGGCAAACAACTTGTTACACCCTCAAATGTATTATAGAAGAATATGCAATACACGTTTTCCAATCTTCTATTTAATACGAGCATTTATGAATGTATTTGCAGAGAAATATATATGAAAATTAAAGTATTATTTCTGGGGCTTGAAATACAGTGTATTATCCTTCTGGCGTTGATGGGCGACTGCTTCTGCCTTAATCATCAGGTTGTCGTAGTCGACAATTCCCCAGGAGTCGGTGCCAATGGCCACAAATCCCATACTGGGAGTGGCAGGAATGGACACGTTGAACAGTTTCTGGTTGTTGAATGTGCCAGATGCGTTTTCTCCCTGCAATACAAAACCCGTGTATAATCTCTGTAGGAGCCCGTCTACAGTTTCACCTGGTATTTCAGCGATACAATTCAGTGATACAACAAACAATGAATCCAATCCCAGGTTATTTTGTGACAGTAGCATTACAATAGGACTGCTTCACGTGCATTACAACGCTCAAGACCCGTGAAGATCCGGGTTAGAATTGGTCTTCAGTAACCCGTGCTTGTCGTAAGAGTCGACTAACGGGATCGGGTGGTCAGGCTCGTTGACACATGTCATCGTATCCCATTTGCGTAGATCGATGTTCATGCTGGTGATCACTGGATTGTCTAGACTAGATTTACAGACAGCCGCAATTTAGCTGAAATATTGCTGAGTGCGGTGTTAAACACCAACCAAACCTAACCTGGCTACAACGCTCAACCTACAGTGACAAAAGTAAACATTAATAATGAACGTAGAAGATGATAGGATCTCCACTAACCCGCACAGTCAGCATTACGTTGCTCCAGTCACTGCTGCTGGAGGGCAGTTCTCCTTTTGTTATACCATGCTTGTGTTCTGAAATCGACATGGGGATTCATTACTGTAGATCTCACATCATATTTATTCTTACTTTCAGCGTTGTCGTTATCATAACCAAATAAAGTTGTAAATACTCAGGGGCGGATCCAGAATTCTCTCCCGAAACAAATGTCCCTGAGGAGCATTACCCCTAACATTTGGACTTCATGATAAGTGTTGCACACACACGCACACACACACACACAGAGTTTATTCCAAATTGCCTCTGTTTACCCAGCAGAAAATGGGTACCCGGTGGGATAAGTCATATGACTATATTTAACCTTCGTGGGGTTCAGCGCCATATTATGTTTATTATTATTATCAACTCACCAAAGTCCGCGGACAGTAGGTAAGTACTTGTTTTGGGGAAGATGTACAGGAAGATGCCCTCTGCCTGGTCTGAGGTTCCGCCGCCTCTGTCGACCCGGGCAGCCACAAAGTAGCCGCTGGAGCCGTTCACGGCCCCGACTCTTGCGTCTATCTGGACAGTTACATCTGTCCTGGAAGATCAGAAGACCAATTGGTACTTGCCTCTGTGATATTATGTGGTACTTTCTCTATTAGAACCTTAAAATATACCCCCGGCACTAGGAATGTATCTGAACATCTCTATCAGGAGTCGGATAGGTCTCATTGGTACAGTCAGTGGGAAACGTGTCCGGACTTAAGAATCATGGGTATTTATTTACGTCTTTCTGCAGACGTCCCAGATTAAGTCGAACACGAACTCATGAGACGAAAATGTACAAAGGCGGAGCGTTTGTTTACCGCCATTTTCCACACGAGAGCTTGTCTATGTTCAGGCTTTTTATGAATCACCTTATCTAACAGTTAGATGACGAATACATTTTATCTTACCTTACATATACTTGGACGTCCTTTGTCAGTGGCATTTTGATAAATTTCAAATGTCATGATACATACAGCCTATACTGTAAATAAAGAAACTGTCGTATGACAACATGGCGACAAACGCTTAGCATCTGCACTGTGAAGTCAATCTGAATGATTAAATCGTTGTAAGCTTCTCCCTGGAAGGAACACGTTTTGTGGTACACCCAATGTAGAGGTGTACTCCGAGTCACGCCCACACGGAAGGTGCATCAATCAGTATTACCATCGTCAAAAGTCTGTCACTTATAAGATTTTAAACCTTACCAATTGTAGTTACCAATGACGCTGATAGACCTGTTGGTATTGCCCTCTGCCTTACACCAGTGTACCGGCTGTGTCAGAACCATCTGCCTGACCACCTTGTTGTGTGGGGGACCCACGTCAATGATCTCATATGACCCAGTCTGCTGGGCCAGGTTGTAGGGCTCCATGTGCTCGGAGTAACCTGTCGAACACATTTGACTGAATGACTGATTCCTGTTGTCAACCCTCGAGAAATACGTGTACTCATATCTGACAAGTCTCTGCATTGTTACTAGGGGTGACTAGTCACTATTCAGGGGGCAACAACTATTGCGATAATGATAGTCTATTGCGACCAACTATTGCAATAGTATTGTATTTTTCTCCTTGAATTGTCTCATTTGAAGTCATTTCCCAAATAAAAGTATAGTTTATATGAATTAAAAACAAGTTGAAGTAGTTTCAGTCTCTTTTGATAACTGACAAGAAACTTGAAACCCCGATCGAGTAAACAGTTAAAACATAAACTCAATGAAGCTGCAAGTCTGCAACAATAAAAAGTACTAAACAACATAAATTTTTGTCAACTGAAGTCAACTACTAACCTATCAATAGCCACACATACTGTCGATACATCAATAGTTTTTACGTTTCTACCATCGATTAATTGCTATCGGAGACTCAGCAATTGCAATCTATCGATATGATTACGACTTTGAGTGTTGGCGATTAGGTGCCTGACTCTGAGGGTGTGGGTTCAAATCCCGGATGGGACTCAACCCAACAAAAGTACTAGAATCTGTACTTTACTAAGACAGTGTAATCCCAAATATAACATATGTTAAATCTATCGACAGTTCGATGCATCGTTACAGCCCTAATTGTTACCTTCGAAGTCGTCGTTGTAGATGTTTGGAAAGGGTTTGGATGCAGGTGGGCGAGGGTACGACCCTTTCTTTCCACCCTTGACGGTCGTCAACGTGTAAACCTCATCCACTGCCACGTCTAGCTGCACCATCCCATTCACGACCTACACAACACAAGTGAAACCTTCAACCCCACTGAGAAAGACATTGCGTTGACAAGAAATTCTCCTTACATTACATCACAATAACATGCATAGCATATACATTAACAACTCGATTCTTACTTCGTTTAGTACGAAATAATAAAATCCTTTAGTAACACGTCCACTTTGAAGTGAAAAACGGTCTCGCGTGAGAAGATGAACTACAAACGGGAAAAGGTACAGTCAGGCCTGAGACGAAAGTTCTAATTTGTTATCTATCAAGGAACAGTTCTGAACCTTATGAAGTGCTACTCGCTTCCAAATCATCCATGTTACTTTATGGCCACACGGATAGTGTTCGCACCTCTAGTGACTGCTGTCTCTCGAACATCGTGCCTGTATCATTGATTGCGCCATTGAACAATCTACTGTACCACACCCTCAGAGATGTTATGGAAATCTGTAAGAAATACATCGTACAATTTACTATCATCTTGTTGCTCACTGTCGGATGAGCAGTAATTCACTGTGGAAACGTCGGGGTAATGTAACGACACACATCTTTAGGATTGGAATATTTTTACATTTTGAGAATTTCTTCATATATTT